TTACTGTATTCTATATATTTGTTATATATTCAGTTTATTGGTCTGTTTGCAACAGGAAAATCCACTAGGTGGAGTAACCATGCTGTAAATTAAGTGAACTTCAACTGTAATTGAGATTAGTATGAGAGTTGTTGCCGTGCGGAATAGATGAAAGTTGGTGTCGCGTGATATTTCTTTTCTGAAGTGTTGTTGTTAAGTTAACCTAAGTAGTATTGCGTTGTAAATTGTTTTTTCATTTTTACATTTCAATCAGACACAAACTTTTTTTGTTGTAAAACTATATCATTCCATTCATACAAAATTGTTTCCTTAAAAACAATTGTTATGAAAACAAAAAAAAAAAGATTAAGTTTATCGCAGTACAGTAGTCTCTCGCTTAATTGCGCAAATTTAAACAGACTCTGCAGCGCGCAACTAAGAGTGGGCAAGATAAGGAAAAATTTAGCAAACTAAATTATTAACTATACAAACAAATCTTTATTAAGAAATATGACGGAAAAAGTCATGAACTGTGGGCTTATATGCATTCTGCAGCTTTTCTCGTCAAATTTCCATAATTACTGACCATATGTTTGAAGAGAATTGTTCGTTGCTATTCATTGTTTAAACGCTTTGTTCTTTTAAAATTGCTTTAGCTTTTTGACATTTTAATTGCTTACCTAAATCTATCAGAGATAAATGTATAAATTAAATACCTAAGTATGTACCATCGTCCATCTCATCATTATTAGTTTCTTCTTCAGAATTGTTATCCATTCAGAATTGTTATCCATTCATTCAGAATTGTTATCCATTGCCACGGTCGTTTACAAGCGTTATGTTTAGGTACGCATGCGTGAGAAAATGCAAACTTTTAAAATGGCTACCATTCTTAACTACAGAGTATATTTTAAATGGCAACCGTGTTATTTGTTATTTGATCTTTAAAACCTCAATGTTGTAGCCTTATTTTTAAGAAGATCAGTATATTATTACAAAATTTTCACAAAAATATATACAAAAAAAAAGATAAAAAATATCTTAGAGTACTTAAACTTTATTTTCAACTAACAACATTTTAATGTAACTCTTAGATTTGTTTATTTATTTGAAATCAATTTCCTTTATATCTGAGTGTAGGTTTTGCATAATTTATATATATATATATATATATATATATATATATATATATATATATATATATATATATATATATATATATATATATATATATATATATATATATATATATATATATATATAAATATGTGTGTGTGTGTGTATGATTACAATAATACGCATATATATATATATATATATATATATATATATATATATATATATATATATATATATATATATATATATATATATATATATATATATATATATATATATATATATATATATATGCGTATTATTGTAATCATACACACACACACACACACACACACACACACACACACACACACACACACACACACATATATATATATATATATATATATATATATATATATATATATATATATATATATATATATATATATATAAATATATATATATATATATATGCGTATTATTGTAATCATACACACACACACACACACACACACACACACACATATATATATATATATATATATATATATATATATATATATATATATATATATATATATATATATATATATGCGTATTATTGTAATCATACACACACACACACACACACATATATATATATATATATATATATATATATATATATATATATATATATATATATATATATATATATATATATATATATATAAAATTTATGTTTATAAATGTATTACAAAAAGAGTGCTCAATGTTCTTTAAAGAACAGAGCAATTACAAATTAGTAGAAAATCACTTAGCAAAATTTTTTCTCATTTAACACTATGTTTCATCAATAAAGACTCATCAGAAATTATTTTTTCATATTATTTATATTTATATTGATTTTAAAAATTAATTCATATATATATATATATATATATATATATATATATATATATATATATATATATATATATATATATATAAATATATATATATATATATATTTATATATATATATTTATATATATATGTGTGTGTGTGTGTGTGTGTGTGTGTATGATTACAATAATACGCATATATAAAATATATATATATATATATATATATATATATATATATATATATATATATATATATATATACGTGTATTATTGTAATCATAGACTCACACACACATATATAATATATATATATATATATATATATATATATATATATATATATATGTATATATATATATATATATATATATATATATATATATATATATATATATATATATATATAAATATGTATATATATATATATAAATATATATATATATATATATATATATATATATATATATATTTACATACGTATATATATCGTCGATGTAGCAGCACTCTCTTGCGAGTCAGGCTGTTTGTCAGTCGTTGTAGCAGCACTCCCTTGCGAGTCAGGCTATTTGTCAGTCGATGTAGCAGCACTCCGTTGCGAGTCAGGCTATTTGTCAGTCGATGTAGCAGCACTCCGTTGCGAGTCAGGCTATTTGTCAGTTGATGTAGCAGCACTCCGTTGCGAGTCAGGCTATTAGATAGTCGATGTAGCAACATTTACGCATGTTTTAAAAATGTTTTTTATTAAATCAATAACAAAAACACCACTAGTTAAAAAAAACTTTCTAGTCGTTATAATTGCGGTTTTTTAAAAATTTTTAAAAAAACAATTAAATTTAATGTACTTCCGCATAAATTAATTGCTTTGACATTTCGATGACAATCAAAAACAGCTTAAGAGACGAGGTAATTAAAATTGTAGTCGTAAGAGACTTTTTTTACATTAAAATGCTCTTAAAGCTACACTATATGGTTATATATATAAATATATATATATATATATATATATATATATATATAATATATATATATATATATATATATATATATATATTATTAAAGACCTGCTTGTTATAATTCAAGTATGCATTTAGGGAAAATAAATAGGGAAAGTCTTAGCATAAGAGTATTCTTTTTTTACAGCATTTTTTACTTTTTTGTTGCAATATTCAACAAAGTTTTGTACAAGGTATAATAAAATATTTTCATTTAATAATAATCTCTAAGCAATTTTAATTGGAGGATAATTTTTTTTTAAATAATTTTAGTTTTTAGTTATGTTAATATTGATTTGATTTATCTGACTTACTTATTTACAGTTACACAAAAACTGCAAAGGGCAAAGTATAAATAACTTTTCAAAAGGAATGCCGTTAAGTCTGGAACATCTTCAACACATAAACTAACGAACCAAACAGTTCTAAAAGTAGTTCTATATTACATTTGCAGTTTGATCATTATTTTTATAATGCTTTTGTTACATAATTATTATAGATTTTTTACTAAAGTATACAGAGCAAAAGTTTCATCTGCAACTATTCTTTGCACAACTTATGTTAATGAATTGTACAAATCTTGTATTGAAAATATTTTAAACATTACTAACTCTTGTCTGTGAACGACAATTGATGAAAATAATGCTTCTGGGAGATCACAAATGCTATGATTTGAATATAACATTAAAAGCCAGAAATCAGACAAAACATTCTAAACATATGAGCATGTGAAATTTTATGGAAAAAATTTTGGGAAATATTATGTTTTTATTTCTGCAACACCATATATAGTGCAGAAGAAATAAAAACCAAAACAAAGACATTTCGTTTTTTATTTTGTAATATATATATATATATATATATATATATATATATATATATATATATATATATATATATATATATATATATATATATATATATATATATATATATATATATATAAATAAAATATATATATATATATATATATTAAAAAAAATATGTGGCTTTTTAAATATTTAATTCAACATATGATTGGAACCGTTATTGCACTGTATTACTATCAGCTTATTTACCACCTCCTAATATATATATATGTATATGTATATATATATATATATATATATTATATATATATATATATATATATATATATATATATATATATATATTTATATATATATATGTGTGTGTGTGTGTTTTTTTCTCTCTCTCTCTCACTCTCTCTCTCTATATATATAGAGAGAGTGAGAGAGATACTATATATATATATATATATATATATATATATATATATATATATATATATATATATATATATGTGTGTGTGTTTTTTTTCTCTCTCTCTCTCACTCTCTCTATATATATAGAGAGAGTGAGAGAGATACTATATATATAAATATATATATATATATATATATATATATATATATACATATGTGTGTGTTTTTCTCTCTCTCTCTCTCACACTCTCTCTCTCTCTCATATATATATATATATATATATATATATATATATATATATATATATATATATATATAAGCAGAGCTTTTTCTAGGGGACTCCTTTGCAAATTAAGGGGCCCTTTTACAAATGTAAGGATTTTTTTTTTATTTAGTATTTTTATTTAGATTTTATTTTATATGTTGAAAAAGTTTTTAAGAAACTTGGGGCCCTCATGACAGTTTTTTTTTCTTTGAATGGGAGGGGGGTTTGTATCTAGCCGCGGCACTGTATATAAAGTATATTTAATATATATATCAAGTTATATACAATAATAATAAAAAATTATTTTTATTTAATAGTTTTATATAATTTATCAGTAACTAAAGGAATGTTATTAATTTATTATATGAATCATAAGCATGTGCTTATCTATTACAAGTACATTTTAAAACGTTGAAATAAACGTCGATTATAAATTTAAAGGTTAAGTTTTTCAACCTTAGATGGTGAAAATTACGTTTTTTTTATCTGAAGAGTGTTGGGAGAAATCGTAAGAGTTTTATAACATAATTAAAATAATGTATGTGTTACCTATAAAATTTAAAGCTAACAGTTAAATTTAATTTTTTTACAGTTCATATTGAAACGAGATATTGTGTAAAGAGGTTTTCAAAGAAGTCGTTTCAACAACAACGGAAAAGCTTCCGATTCGCAAGATAACCGTGAAAGCATTCGATACATGATTAAAGAATCGTTTAATATTTTGCTTAGTTTGGACAGTGTAGTTTTAATTACTATTTTTTTGAAATAAATCAATCAATTTATATACAAGTTTGCTTTTTCTGTAAATTTTAAACATTTAAACGTAGTTTTGCAAGATTTGCAATGGGTAAACCTTGTGGGACCCTCACGGGATACCCGACGGGCATACCCATATGAGCCCCAAAAGAAAATCGCGGCCAAGATCCGGCGGGTTCCCGATGGGTTTCCGATATGGGTCCCATTGGCAAACCCAAATGGGTCCCTTACGGTTTTAAAGTACGGGATTTGAGTTCGACCCATACGGGGTACCCGGCGGGCTAACTCTTATGGGTCCCATATGGAAAACGCGGCCATGATCCGGCGGGATACCGTTGGTCTACCCATACGGGACCCAGTTGACGACGCGTTTGGGCCACGTACGGTACCCCTTTGTCAATTTTGGCTGGGATGTCTAGCAAAATAGGTTAAAGTGGAAATTCAATGTGATACACTCGCTGATAGTTCGAGAGCAATTAAGCGGTGAAAAAAGTTTAGCGTGATTAGCTTTGTTATTCTCCAAAAACTGATAAGATATTCTGTGTCACTTATAAACTATTTGCAAATACGTCGTTGTTAACAACTAGTGATTATTACAATAGGAAGAATGCAGTCAGAGATTTAAGTCGCTAAAAACTACATGGAAGCGAATATAATAAATTCTAGTAGAACAGTACATGTCTGAAAAGAACTATTGGAGTAAATTTCTCAAACGGATTTTGTGTAAGCAAATTAATGTCAGCGAGTAATCAAATTATTGTCGGCGAGAGGTCTGATGATCAATTTCTTTCAGAACACATTCAACAACGCGCTAATGAAGGTAGAGTTCACATATCATGTTTGTCTTCAACTACTTGTGATCAATTTATTTTAACTATAAGTGATCAGTTAATGAGGCAGGTCATACAAGAATTATGCAAAATACTGTTCTGTCTCAGTAAAATCAACACCGGATGTTTCGCGTTCAGACCAGTTAAAATTGATAACTGGTACACTTGCTACTACTTATCAAATTCGGTATAAAACAATGTTCTAAAACATTTGATAAAACAAGCAAATGTTTTTAAGATTTGAAATTTGAATACGGCTACTAAAATGTTGCAATCTTTAAAAAAGTTTGTTCATGAACTTCATTTTCAATTCAGTGAAATAGAACAGAAATAAAAAATTCTGTATCAAAGCGATGCGTATCCAAAAGAGCATTAAAGAAAAACTAACCAAATCAGAAGATAGGACAATCGTGATGCAGAAGTAGATGATGCTGACGCTGGATTGTAGCCTTCGGAAAAGTTTAAAATACACTCATTTCTTTCAATTACTAACCAACTATTATAAGCCTTGAATCAGAGAATCTCTGCATACAGTGTTATTGATGATAGAATGGGTTTTTATTCTCAAGTTAATATTTTAAAATATTATGATTTGCGAACCAAAGCCGTGCATTTAGTTAAATATAGCATAAAGACCTTGAACCTCAGTTATCTAATGAAATCGTTCAATTTATTGCTTTATTCAAATAGTTTAGCAAAGAAACCACGTCAATTTAGGGCAAAAAATAGGCCCGATTTTGACAGCACTAAAATGTCATAAACTATATATCGTTGGATAGAAAATTTTATGCTGATCAGTGTTTATATAAAAATTATGAAAACAATTATTTTCAAAGTTATTTACGTTTGAAATGCTAAAAGCGTTAAAAGATAAACCCGCACAAAACTTCCCAGCCAACATTGACAGACGGGTACCGTATGGTTTTTGTCTGGGCTTACGGGAACGGGATTTTGACGGGTAAGTGTTTTGGTTTAGACGGGTCCCATATGGTAATAAAATCAGGGCCAATAAACCTGGGGATTTGACGGGTTTCCCATAAAGTTCCCAAAAGGTTTAAAAAAAATCATAACAAAACTTACTCGATGGTTGCCATTTTTAATTCGTATTGTGTGTGAAATAAGATTAAATATTTAACTTTTATGCATTACATTTTTTGAATACATTATATTTACATTGTAATTAAAAAGAATTTTTTTTTGATGTGTTTTGTCACTGTAAAACTCAGTTAAAAAGACGTTGTTTTAAAATTTCATATATTTATTATCATTATGAAAGAATTTTAATTTATACATATATATATACATAAATACTATTTTTTAAATGAATTTACAAAGTTCAACATGTTTGTTGAACATATGTTCCATAAACTATTAAACATGTAGTAAATGTTCCATTGAGACACTGTTGGCATTTTTAAAATGATCAAAATATAAAGTTTTGTTTCTGCTAGTCACTAGCAGAAACAAAACTTTATATTTTAATCATTTTAAAAATGCAAACAGTGCAAACTAGCAGCTAGTAATATAATTAGATAATAAATGGTTTGAGTTTAATCAAAATATTAGTTTAGTCAGAAACATTTAAAAAGAGCAAACAGACGAGTAGAATGTAATGGATAGGTTATATTTAGGGAATTAAAAGCTTTTAAATCAATTTACAGATCCACTCTTTTCCATTGATTTTTCTATATTTTATGCAAGCAAAATGACTGATGTTAACGAAGTTTACCCACCGTCAGATATAAATAAAGATATAATTACATGTTTAAATGCAAAAATCTGGCTTTATTGTTATGCATCAACCTCATTTTTTAATCATTGATATTTTTTGATTTTGATTTAAAATTGTACACTTGCAATATAAACAATAATTTCATAATATACATAATAATAACTTATACATACAATACCCGTACTTGTAAATACTTGTAGTATAATACTTATGTTTATAATACTGACAAAATTTTTTATTGATATAAACTTTTGCATTCAAACTTTAGTTATAAAACTTTAATTTAACTTAATAACCTTTACATAAATAACAATAACTAAAAAAAGATGTTAGTTATTATATAGATTATAGCCATATGCTTATTTATTATAATTGAGTTACAGTAAGTTAAACAATATAAAATGTTAAGTTCCAGGCAATAGGTCTTATATGATATGTATCTTATGTATATCTTGTATTTTGCAGCATGTTAAAGAATATTTCTGCATGGTGCTATCTGACTGTTGACAATATTTGCATATTGATATGAGTAAAAGTGACTTCAACAACCAGGATGTGTTTTTGATAAATATTAATAATAACAGGTTAGTAAATATAATTATAGTAATAATGGCAATAATTTTTTGTTTTTAGAATTAGTGAGAGACTTATGTATAATAGAGCTACATTAACTTTGGGGGACAAATATAATAACTTGAGTAAATATTATCTTTGTTTATAACCTCGATTAGAGTAATATAAGTAAATATTATTTTTATCTAAAGAATATTCGGCAAAAGTCAGTATTTCCAAAGTAATAAATATTATAAAAAAACATGTGTTTAAAAAAAAAAATTTAAATGTATCATAAAATAAAAAAATAAGTATTTGAGTATAAAAAGAAACACTATTATTATAATGTATAAATTATTATGATATACATATTAATTTATACATTATAAAAAAAACACATTTATTATTATAATGTATATACATCACATTGACTATGTTGTCTATAAAGTAGGGGTTGCAGCTGATATTTCAGCCTCAGCTATAAACTCAATAGCTTCAGATTAATGCTGAAGCTGATCAAGTCAGTTTAATCATCTTGATAGCTGATAGTAAAAGAGAATAATACTCCATAAATATTTTATATAAAATATATTTTTATATAGGAATTTATTCAATGAAAATCTTAAATAGTGACAAAATTTAAACATACATGTAAATTTTGAATAAACTTTGCCAAAAGTTGTTGCTATTTATAAATGTTGCCATCAGAGCCTAGGCCTAGGACTTACAATATTAGGGGACCCAAATTATGTTTTTAGAAATTTATTTAAAAAGTGGTGCCCAAGAATCTAATTCCATTTTTAATTATCTTAAGGGGACCAACTATCTTTTGTTCAAAAAGAGTACACTTTGCTAGACACAAAAAAAGGTAGATAAAACGATAAAAAACTAGATGAGGATATTCGTCTAATAATGTAGCTGCATCCGAACATATTAAATTTCATATTAAATTTGACTGTTAAGACGGCATATAATGTTTTTACAGAAAGTTGCAACTTCTCACTGCTCCAATAATCATTCCTTAGTGAAAATACCTTTTCAACAGCAGCATTAGTGCCTGGACAACATAAAGAAATTTCTGTTAAAACTTTTAAATTTTCATGTGGGATATGTTCTACTCTAAAATGCCGAAAGATTTCTACCGATCTTTTTTCAAGTTCTATTTTCTCATTGTTCCATTTCTTTAATTTTTCTTTATTTAAAAATAAATTTACTCTTCCGATTTCTTCAAAAAGAAAATTGTCATTAATAGCAATATCTTTTACTTCCTTTATTACAAATTCGACTGCTGAAGAAACTTTTTTCCATTAAATTTTACTATTTATAAGGGTCCATTTAATACAATTCAATGCTCTAAAGTTTATTATCTATTCTTCGATATATTCATAGCAAATTTTATAAAAATTTTTAACTTCTTTTAAAAACATTTTTTTTTTCTGGGATTGGAATCTTCCAAAGCGGTCAGTTTATAGGCTTTAATATAGCCTTTAATATTGTATATAGTAGTGTATGTATATTTTTTTTAATTTAAATTTGCCTTCAATTTGTTTTTTTATATTTTTCTGCAAAAAAATTTTTCTGTCACTTTATCCTTCTGAACTTATGTGATTAAGTTTTTATTTTCTCTTACATATTTTCTCATTCATCTTATCTCATCCGTTTATTTTCTCTTTTTTTTTCATTTTTCTTAGCGTTACTCTTTTATATTTTTGTGTTAATTCCAACTTTTTAAATAGTATTGTTCCTTATACTTCTTTTTTTATTATTTGTATTGATGTAGTTTTCTTTCTTTCTTATTATTTTTTATTTTATTTTTTTATTTTATGAAGGTGTCGCTCCATTGACTTGTTTTTAATATGAATGACACCAAACATAAATTTGTAAATTATAATTAAGTTTGTAATTTTTGATTTTAT